TGCAGAGACTCCACAGGCAAAAAAAAAGCTACTTTTGTGTCGACTCAGTACGGAGCAACGTGATTTTTCTGTTGTTCTTGTCGAATCGAGGCAAGCTCTTTCGTGTTGGAACTGTCTTTGGATTGCTTGTTGTTAGTGATGGAGGAACACCTTCTCCTGTGTTTTAGCTGACGTTAGTCACCGGCAGGAAACCCTTTGAAGTGCCGGGAGGCAGAATCGTGTTTAAAATGCAGATTTTTTTGCCACCCAAGATAAGGTAGTCTTGGATCGGCAACAAAAGCTTTCCTGACACGGAGCAGTTATTGAACAGACTGCTAAACGGGTTCTGGCCGTTCTCTTGAACAGCACTGGAATTGGGACAAGGGTTGAAATTGTTGATCAGGACTGCAGAAAAGCATCCATCTTTTTAAATTCCAATTTTCAATGCAGTCTTAATAGGAGTAATAATAATAAAAAAAACCAAACATGATTTTTTCTGCTCGAAATCTGTCACTGCCAGAACCGCCAATTCCAGCAGTTTTCAGGCAAACTGACGGTCTGAATTGTGCTTTTTGTTCCAAAATGGCTTGTGCTTGTTCACAAAAGGCAGCACCTTTTAAACCAGTTTGTCTGGGAAACCCATCCCTCAGTAAATCCTTTGTTTGTCATGCTGTATTCCATTTAAATTTCTGCTGGTTTTTACTAATCCTTCCTGCTGCTGACTAGCTAAACGAGGAACTGACCGAATTAATTAATTACCGTAGACACAGCAGAAGCAGCACTGCTCAGCTGTGTCATCTGCCTGCAGACGGCACCACGGTGCGGGAAGAAGATGTGTGGAAGCACCTCCTCCCGGGAGTCATCTGAGGCCCCGAGGCTTGGGCAAGGAGTCACTGTGTGCGTTGAACGTCTTTGAGGATGGCCAACGTTAGCCAGTGAGGAGGGGAGATGAGGACAGCTCTGGACGAATGAGTCCTGGTGTTTCCAGACTGCAGAATCACAGAATTACAGAACGGTCAGGGTTGGCAGGGCCCTCTGTGGGTCACCCAGCCCAACCCCCTGCTGAAGTAGGGTCACCTACACTAGGCTGTAGAGGACCTTGTCTAGGCGGGTCTTGAATATCTCCAGAGAAGGAGACTCCACAACCTCCCTGGGCAGCCTGGGCCAGGGCTCCGTCACCC